AGTGGCAGATCTACCCGGGTTGCAGTTGCAACCAGGCCCTGGCGCTCCACCACTGATTTCAAGCTGTAGAGAGACTACAAATCAAAGCCCGGACAGGAGGAAGAGGGCCCCGGTGACCATCGCCATTTCCATAAAAAGGCCCACCAAAATCCTCAGCACCAGGCCCATGATGCTCTTAATCAGGCCCTGTGCGTGTTGACACAAAACCAAGGAGGCAAGACATCAGTAAAGATCTTAAAAAAGCAGCTGTTGCTGCCTATCATTCTGGGAAGGGTTGTAAGGCCATTTCGAAACAATTTAAAGTCAATCACTCTACAGTGAGGACGAATATGCACAAGTGGAAAACATTGAAACAGTCATTGCAATGCTCAGAGAAATTGCAAAAACAAAAATCAGACTCTACAGTCCTCAGCATGTTAAAGTTCATGACAGTACAATTAGAAAAAGACTGGACAATTATGGTTTGTTTGGAAAGGTTGCCAGGAGAAAGCCTCTCTAAAAAGAACATGACAGCACAGCTTAGATGCAAAGTTGCATCTGAACAAACCATAAGACTCCAGGAACAATGTCCTTTGGACAGACGAGACCAAAGTGGAGGGGTGGTAGAGGGGTGATGATATGGGCTTGTTTTGGAGCCACAGTACCTTGGCACCTTGCAGTCACTGAGTCGACCATGAACTCCTCTGTGTACCAAAGTATTCTAGAGTAGCGGTTCTCAACTGTAACCTCAGAACCCACATTTGTCCGTGGTCTTTAAGTTGCACTGCACTGCGGTACTACGCATTCCGGGGGAGGCGATCGCACTGTGGGTGGGAGGTGCGTTTGGGGTGCTATTCAAATGAATAGCAACGCAATGCGCTTCCCGCACCAGAATGCGTGGCAGGTGCGATTGTGTGGTACGGTGCGTTAACCACACGGGAATGTGTGATTAATGCACTATACTAGAGTGAATGGGCCCTCAAAAACACTGATAGACAAACACAACCACAAAAACAGTTTCACATATTTACATACAGTCTCACACACAAACACACTCCAAAAAAAATGATTTTTTTTTTCTTTAAGTTTCACCCAGTCTCCCTACCTTATGAGAACTGGAGTGGATCCTCTGCCTGGGGTCCAGTGTGGGGTGCTGTGACGGAGCTCCATCCATATGTGCATTTCTTGTACAGCTCCCTTTGCGTGCTCTGTCCAGAATGTGATGTCACTTCAGTCCAGGCACGTCTACAGGGCACGTGAGGGAGCTGTAAGCAATGCACGTATGGATGGAGCTCCCATGCGGCCATACCCCTAGCCCACCCCACCTCAAGCTGACACTTGTGGATGGGCAGCATACGTTGAATGGCTGCTCGGTGCAAGCACTGAGAGTGCTGCACTAGGGGGAGGCTGAGAAGTCTCTCACCTAGTGCAGTGGAAGGCACGCGGCGACCCACTGAACACGGAGTTGCGACCCACTATTGGGTCACGGCCCACCAGTTATAACCTACGGTTCTAGAGTCAAACGTGAGGCCATTTGTCCGATAGCTAAAGCTTGGCCGAATTTGGGTCATGCAACAGGACAATGATCCCAAGCACACCAGCAAATCTACAACAGAATGGCTGAAAAAAATAAAAAAAAAGAATCAAGGTGTTGCAATGGACCAGTCAAAGTCAAGACCTCATCTTGATTAAAATGATGTGGCGGGACTTTAAGAGAGCTTTGCATAAACAAATGCCTGCAAAGCTCAATGAACTGAAGCAACATTGTAAACAAGAGTGGGCAAAAATTCCTCTACAACAATGTGAGAGGCTGATAAAATCATATAGAAAACAATTTAAATTTATGACACGATGTAATATGTTATGTGTTGCTGTTCATCTGAGGTTGTATTTACCTAATTTTAAGACCTGATATATATTCCATTTGGTTTGGAGCACCATACATCATACATGTCATGATTTTGCCCATAGTTACACTGCTGCTGATTCAGCATTAATCAGATTTGTATTCTTGGCTTGAAGTCTCTGTCCTTTTCTGGAAGCCTTTCTTTAAACTCTAGAGCAGGGGTGGCAAACACAAGGCCCGCGGGCCGAATCCGGCCCGCCGGACCTTGCAATGTGGCCCGCACAGCAGCCAGGGCCGGTCCGCTATGCCGACTCTGTGCAGAGCAGTGTCTACTGTGTGGTAGCGAGCAGAGCCGGCACTACCACACAGTAGACACTAGAGGGCGCTGGTGGGGGAGGCCAGAGAAACACCTCCTCCCCCAGCCCTCTCTACTCTGTACTCTTTCCGGAGCTTGCTGGTGCTGTTCCTGCAGCCTGCACTGTCCCGGTACCGGCCGAGATATTAACATATGAATGGGCCAAGGTAATTTGCATATCAATAAGCCTCGGCCCATGCAAATCGCCGACCCTCCCCCGCTGCTAAGGAAGAGAAGGGAAGAGAAGACTGCAAGAACAAGGTATGTGTATGGTCAGGGATTTACTCTCCCTGCCGCCCCAAGGCCAGATTCCACAATAATTAACTTGACTAGGTGACAGCTGTCACTTGAAAACGCCAGATTAGGGATTTCTGCTGCAGTCTGAGCAGTCTCCAATAAAGTTTCTTGTGGATGTTTTCAAGGCTAGTTATTACTTAAATTATTATTAAAACCAGTAGCAACTGAATGCAGAGGCAACTATTTATGATAATAAAGAGTAGATGCATAGTCCTATACAACCGGCCCTTTGAGGGTAACCATATTGCTGATGCGGCCCCCGATGAATTTGAGTTTGCCACCCCTGCTCTAGAGTATATGCAAGAAGTTTTTGGTTGATATTTTTGTGGAATAAAAATATATAGTATAAATCGAGATTGAGAGTCTCCTAATGCTGAAATTGCTACTTTTGTGGATAACGTTAGAAGTAAACTCAATCTCTTCTTATTACTAGTATATGTGTGTATGTTATTAAAGTGATATTAAACCCTCACATATTTTTAAATAAATCAATGCTACAATTTGTTTCTTACTGTTATCCATGTTTGCTTCAGTCCTGTGGGCTGCTGTTTCTTTAACATCTTCAGAGTTCAGAATGCTGGGGGGAACTTCTGTTCTGCAAGTGCCTCCATCCTCGGTCTATAATCCTGTGCTAGGACTACAAAATTACGTCAGAACGCCGCCTGCCCGACGTGTACAAGGCCGCCTACTTTTGATTGGCAGCGGCTTCCGAGTGCTGGTGCTGCGTTGCTGAGATCTCTCATTCACATCAACAAGCTTTATGTATATCTAATAGCCTATAAAGCAATGCGTATGATGGCTCCAGCCTTTTTTTTTTAAACAAGCATTATGTTTAATGTGTATGTGCACAGATTATGGAGCAATATAAGTCTTTTTCTTTTAACATATTTTATGTATGCTTTTTTAATAAGCAAACGCAAAACTTTTTAAAAGAAAAAGACTGCAGCAATCTATATACATACACATTAAACAAAATGCTTGTTTAACAAAAAACAAAAAAAAGTAGCCATAATACACATTACATTGCTTCATAGGCTATTGCATATACACAAGACATAAATATTGTTGAAACCCTATACCCCCCC